GACAGCTTTATCACAGACACATTATCTTTATGGCAGCATTGTTTTTTACTGAGAGAAAGTCTTACTAGAAAGCCTCATAGTTTGGGGTTGGCTGACCAGGCCTTGATATTGGCACAAAATGCATTTGAGAAGGAAGTGTTTAAAACATTCTGTGCCAGCAGCAGAAGGGAAAGACCCATATTAGGTTTTTGTATCTTTATTTACATCCTCCTTCCTTCCTTGAGTTGTTTTTGTCATGGTCCTCTGCAGCAGCTCTGCAGGTATGCTGTTTTGCTAAACAAGGCCAACTGTCGTCTGAAGGAAGTGTTTAAACTATTATGTGCCAGCAGCAAAAGAACAAGGTCCTTCTTTGTTTGCTGTAATGTAAAACATGTACGAAGGAACAGAGTTATTCACATCAAGCTGTTGTCACAGAAAATATAAACTAAATATATAGCTTAACAAATACATAAATAAATTGAAATAACCTTAATAAAGAAATACTGTGAGATTACTAATATTTATGAAATATGCTTTATCTGATATTACAGTTGCAATATTGGGGTGGGATTACAAATGCTACATTCATTTTAGAGTTAAGCTATTTGTGTAAAATGTATGAATTCTGATCTGTAATATATCTTCTTTGATGATCTGCAGTTTGAGAAGTTACTCAGAAGGAAAAAAATGATTTGAAAAAAGAACTATGCATTTGTTTCACAGAAAGAGTCTGAATGTCTTTGTTCCAGCTGCATGTGTTTCTGCCTCCCTCTGAAGCAGCTCTGCAGGTATGCTGCATTCCTAACAACGCACACCTGGTGTAAATTACCTTGTGTCAACATCAGAAGGGAAAGGCCCTTCTTTGTTTTCTGTCTGTGTTCACTTCCTCCTTCCTTGTTCCTTGAGTTTGTTTTTGACCTTTAATTTAATGTTTAGATTAAATGAGGGAACACATTAATCTAGTGCAGGGGTGCCCACACTTTCTCAGCTTGGGAGCTACTTTTAAAATGAACAAGTCAAAGTGATCTACCTACAGGGTACTGCCCAAAGTAATGCGGTGAGGCCCTGTGTGTTGCGAGCGGGGGGAGGGGTGGCTAGTGGACTGTGAGCACCGGAACCTCGAAGCGGCAGAGAAACTGTGGCGCACTTAGACTTATTGTGCCGCATTTGCGCTTCAGATGAGGAGGTGAGGCCCCCCCTTATACCCTTTCTTTCATATAATTGTATAAATTGGAAGGCTAACTAGGTAATCAGCTCGCCGGTGATTTTCAGCTGGTGCGGTTGACCGATTGCGTGGCCTTGGCTTGGATCTGACATACCTGCTCTGCCCCGATCTACTACTTGTTAACTAGCTAGCAACCATATCGTTTTTGAGAAGTGTCCAGTGTTCCACATATAACTTTTTGTGTTCTTATTGAGAGCACCATCCAGGTGCTTATAGTGCATTGTGCCATACTTGGCATGGGGAAGCACTGATAAACAGCACCTAATTCTGATTCTTACCACCCATGGTATGTCTGAAAGGCCTGCCAGCTTCACAATCAGCCTCATTGGCTTGATTGTATTGAAATGTAACTGTAATCCAGAAATAACATGTCAACCAGTTTTCTGCTCTTTCAGGTTCAGGTGTAGAGTGAAGTGCCAGGGCCAGCATGACGCCCACTCATCTGTAGGGGGTTCACCGTGTCTAGAACCACAGCGTTATTGGATTGGGGAACAATTGTGTGCTAATGTCCTTGGGCAAGACACTTCACCTGAACTTGCTCCTGTGGGTATTGTCCACAGTATCTGACCATTGCATGTATCATATATGTGTAATGTGTGTATATGTAAAGCGCTTTGAGTCATTGATAAAGCGCTATAATAAATGTAAGGAATTATTATTATTAATGTCGCCCACTGACATTTGAATGAACGTACAGTAAAGGTGTTGCAGCAACCACACCTACATACAGTACACTGCTGACATCACAGTCTGAAGTTCAGCTACACTGTACAAAAGGATTTGATCATTAAGTTATTGTAACTTTTTTCTTTAAAGGTGACCTATCATGCTATATTTCAACAATATATTGTAGGGCCATACCTATATAAAGTATATAAATATAGTTTTTTTATCAAAAACGAAAAGTTTCCCCACAGCAGCAGACGCACATTTATGACGTCCGCTCACGCATCATAAACACGTCGGATAGTGAAAGTGCAGTCGGATTCTCTAAAGCCAGGGGGGCACCAGAGAGCTTCAGGGGAGGCGCAGCGTGAGAAAAAAAAAATGAGAAACAGTGAAATCTAGTTAACTTCAGCTAACTTTATGCGAGCAGCAACATGGATCGATTTTTTGTGAGGTTACCTAAAGTGAAAAAGGAGACAGCGTCTGGCAGAAAAACGTCAGCTTTGTTTTGAAATAAAAGTTGTGGCTCATCGGACATTTATGAGAGAAAATCCTGAATGTCCGAGTGCAAGTGAATGCAGCACAAGACGCGAGCCTTGTAACCCCGGCCCTTGCGCGAGCGAGGAAATGTGATTGGCGGCGATTTCATTTGAACGGGACGACGCATTCGGACCCCAAGTAGACGGAAGGAATGAGGTATTTGGTCAAGGTCATCCACGTTTTTAAGTCCTTGAGGCAGTCTTGAATTTTATTTAGATGATTAATTTCATATATGTCTATATATATATCTATGTTAAACTGTTTTAATGAGCATTTTGTGTCTTGTGGCTCTCTGTTTGATTCTGTCACTAACTCTGCTTCTGTGAACACCACAGTCTGTAACTCTGAAAAAGGTGTTTTGGAAAACCCTTTTAGTTTTACTCCTTTTACTGTTGATGTTGTTCGTGAAGTTTTAACCAAGTTAGATCCTAAGAAACCGGCTGGCCCGGACAATTTAGAGCCTTTCTTTTTAAAGATAGCTGCTGATTTTATTGCTCCACCGCTCACTACTCTTTTTAACCTCTCCCTCAGCACTAACACAATTCCAAAATTGTGGAAGTAAGCGTATGTCCTGCCTCTACTAAAAGGTGGGGAGGCCACTTTATTAAATAATTATAGGCCCATCTCAAAATTATCAGTTCTGGCTAAGGTGCTCGAACGCCTAGTGAGTGAACAGGTAAAGGTGTTTTTGTGTACAGATGACATCCTGTCTAAACATCAGTCAGGCTTCAGAAAGCAACACAGCACCATCACTGCCACAATGAAAGTGGTGAATGATATTACGAGTATTTTAGACAATAAGCAGAGCTGTGCAGCTCTATTTATTGACCTGTCCAAAGCGTTTGATACCGTCGATCATCGCATTTTAAAGCAGAGGCTAGCCAGTATAGGCATGTCCAGCCATGCAGTGGGTGGTTTGAAAACTACCTCTCTTAAAGGTCCCAATGTGTTCACTTTGATGGGCTGTCTTCTGAGTGGTTAAATATTGCTAATGGTGTTCCTCAAGGTTCTGTTTCAGGTCCACTTTTATTCTCCATCTACATCAACAGTTTAGGTGAAAATGTGGATGAAGCTACTTTTCATTTGTATGCGGATGATACCGTGATGTACTGTGCAGGTCCCTCCATTAAGGAGGCTGGTGTTAAATTACAGACTGTTTTTAACATTATTCAGACTCAGCTATCTGAATTAAAGCTTCTTTTAAATATTGAGAAAACCAAGGTAATGCTCTTTTCTAAAGTTAAAAAGACACCAGAGCCTGTTTTAGATATTGTAACTACACAAGGAACAAAACTTGAAGTTGTTGCCTGTTACAAATACCTTGGTATCTGGCTTGATGATTGTCTCACTTTTAAACTTCATGTCAATAACCTGCTTAAAAAGCTGAGGGTTAGGCTAGGTTTCTTCTACAGGAACAAGTCCTGTTTCTCGCTTGAAGCCAGGAAAAGGCTCTGTGACCTTTTGACCTGTGCTGGACTCTGGTGATCTGATGTATCTGAATGCACCTGCCAATTGCCTGATCAAGTTAGATGCTGCGTATCACAGCGCGCTAAGATTTGTGACAAACTGTAAAGCATTAACCCCTCACTGTACCCTGTATGCAAGGGCTGGTTTGCTTTCACTAACTGTACGGAGTCTCAGTCACTGGTACATTTTTATATACAAAGCCATGTTAGGGAAACTTCCATCCTATATCTGCTCCCTGATCTCACGGAGAATTGTAAGTGGCTACTGCCTGAGATCGAATGCTGTGGTTTTATTAAATGTGCCAACTGCTAGGACTGTCTTAGGGAAGACAGCTTTTAGATGCGCAGCTCCTCTGTCTTGGAATAGTCTGCAACTGAAATGGAAACTGAGCAATCTGGTGCCACTAAATGTTTTTAAAGCTCGGTTGGATGCTACTCAATCGGAAGCTGTTGGTACATGTTTATGTGGATAATTATGTAAATTGTAATCCCTGTGATGATGATGTAAGATGTCCTTTTGTTGTTCTGTTAATGTTTTTATGTTTCATGTGGAACCTACTTGAGCAGGTCTCCCTTGTAAAAGAGTTCAATGATCTCAATGGGATTTATCTGGATAAATAAAGGTTTAAAAAAATGAAAAATAAATCAGGCTTGATTGATAAATATAGTTGAGTATCATCCGCATAACAATAAAAGTTTACAGAATGATTCCTTATAATATTGCCTAACGGGCACATCTGCGACCGCAGTTTTAATTAACCTTTATTAACACATTAAAGAATACTTTAGGTTAAGGTCTTCTTTCAAATAAGAAAAAAGACGTTGGGGGTATCTATCTACAGATAAATATTAAGCCTGACAAAGTACTTAACGTCTAATATATTGCTGTCCTGCAATGTTAACTATGTTGAAGCACTTATTTTAACTGATATAATACACATTAATTATACTCTTATGTATGTAGATAGTATAGGTTAGGCTATATTTCCCCTTGTTCTGTTTATTAAGCCAGGGTGAGATGTTAAACATTTTTAATCTATAAATCATCCCACTGTAGCTGAACATCAGACTGTGATGTCAGTGTGTGTGGGTGTGGTTTGCTGCATGCAGTCTGTATTTAAGGAGCTGTTGCTGCAGACTAACTTCACTTCCTCAGCTCAGCAGCAGACCAGCTCCTCCCTCCAGAACCAACTATGGCCAACAAATGTGCCCAAAATGGTAAGTGAATAAACTGTATTGTTAATGATGATTGCAATTTATCTAAATACATATTTATAGATTGGATATGGGTCAGTGTATGTTTTGGTCATTGGATTTTCTTTTCATAAATTGATATTCAAAAACAAAAAACGACTGGATATTTAATTTTCGTTTTAAAATTGAAATACAAGGCGTTTTTCTTTATCATGGTCGAAAAGGGATTTACTAAACTTAAAAAATGGGATGATTTTCATTTTCTACTTCTCAAAACAAAAAATAAAATCACGAGAAAACAGAAACAAAAAAACTACAGTTTTTTCATATTCTGCGACAAAATAAGAGCGCAGATGAGGACGGTCAAATCCGTGTGTCCAATTGTTTTTCTTCATTAAACACGTAAACGTAAGAGCGTCTGAGAGGCCTTTTTGCTTTTTGCCTTACTAAATGGTCAAATGGTCCTTGGAGCGAGGGGCGGGGCCAATACTCACGGAAGTGATTTCAAAACAAAAGCACTCGTTTGCTAAAATCACACTTTGAATCACTACAGCATGGGTCGGCAACAGGCGGCCCGCGGGCCATTGTTGGCCCGCCAGCAATAATATTTGGCCCGTAATTTTGAGAATCAAAAATAAAATATTATTTTGAGATTTTTTATTTTTTTTTTACAACATAGGACTGACAGTCGCACATCAGGGTTTCCGTTAGCGGCCGATCGATCGGCCGCCGGTCATTATCGGCCGATATTCACTCTTAATAGTTTGATCAGTGCTCTCTAAAAAGGCCGATCAGGAGAGCTGGATCTGATCAATATGGACATAAACGCGAGTGAAGTATAATATAACCGGACGCGAGAGAGAGATCAGATCAGCTGCTGAGTCTGACGGAGACACGCAGCCCTGTATAATCAAATGAAGCCCCGCCCACTGTTTAGCGAGCTGCATGAGAAACTAACGTGCTGTCAGGAGAGAGAGAGGATCCGTTTCTCCCGTGTTATTATTCAAAGTTGATGTAAACTTTTGAATAATGTACTTCATCTACTACAAGTAGTTTGTTTGAATGTAATAATTATGTTGTTTGTGGAATCATTTATTGAAAAATGAATCTGAATTCTTTGATCTGTAACGATTATAAACTGAAGCAATATAAAAATGACTCCCATTAACTGAGTTTTAAACATCAGCATATCCGGTCCTAGTCCGGTGATTACCTGCTAACGGAAACTCTGCTACACAATTCTTATTATTATTATTGAAACATGACCGGTGAGTTTCAAATTTGTCCGGTAAAATAAATTCTGTCCCGAAATATCAGCTTACATTCATAATGTCAGCGGAGGGAGGGGAAGCGGCGCTGTGGAAGAGCAGAGTGGAGGGAGAGCTGTCATCTTCCCTTTACAAGCTTCAAACATGTATTTATCGTGTGATTTTGGAAATAAAAGTTCCATATTCTGAAAGCCAAGACTTTGTTTATTTAAAATCAAACAAAACACCCGATCCCCGAAAAACTATTTTTTTACGCAAATCCACGTTTATTTTGAAATGAGCCGTTGCGACTTCCGACTGATTTCGATAGAGCGGGTCACATATGGCAAATGTGTGGTTGGGGGGAACCAGGTCAATTAAAGTACTTATTTAACTATTAATTACATTGAGTTTGAGTAAAATACTTGGTTATTGATTAATTTAGGTTATAATATATTAAATTGCAAAGCAAAACTGCTGTAATTGATTTATTTTGTCCTTTGATATTTTGTAAAGGTTTTCAACCTGAAAGAATCCTAATGTGTCCTTGAAAAGTTGAAATAAAGAAAAGGAAAAAGGATTCCAGTTGTCCATGCGTCCCCTTTGCCCCTCAAATGGGCAAACACTCAAATAAATGCCAAAAACCCAGAGAACTTGACAATACTTATCAGAATAAAAGTATGTTAAATAACACTGCTACCTAGTTAATAACTCTACTCAGTGGAGGCTCATCCATTGAGGAAAGGGAGGACCATCCTCCCTACAATTTCAGAGAAAAATAAACTTTGAAGAGAACAATAAATACACCTCAATTTAAAAGATAAGTCTGTTAAAATACAGATAATAGCCCTGGCTTTGGGACTGAAATGGGGCTAGAGAGGACGAGCCTCCCTTTGGGCGGGTCTAGCCAAAGGCTCTGGATTGGGCGAACAGGGGCGCTGCGCCCTCTTACCAAAATCAATTCCTTGAATTAGGCTTTGATTATGTTCTGGCCCGCCATCTTGCGGCTCAGCAAAAAATTGGCCCACGGCCAAACTTACTTGCCTACCCCTGCACTACAGTATCCTGCTGAAGGACCGGTGATTATTATAAACAAGGGGAATTTAGCGATCACAACGAAAACGGCCAAGACACATATTGAGCCCAGAACATTGATGTTATTAAGGGCTGTAAATATAATAAGCCTCTGTCTAAAATGGTTAGGAGATTTAAACTATACAGCGGTTCTGCACTGCGGTCACTCAGCCGCCTCTCGCGTTTTTTTTTCTTCAAATCAGCTGCTCTTCATTTTTCCTGCTATATTTGACGAGTGATACAAATATTTGTTACCACAAGTTCTTAAGGAAACTGACACTGTCGGACTCGGTTCTAGTTTGACTTATACCAGAAATAAAATGAAGTAGCCTACTTTTGCTGTGTACTTTGTGAGTAATCCTCTGTCAAAGTCTCCTCCAGTAATAATAATAATACATTTATTTTGGGGGGCGCCTTTCATAACACCCAAGGACACCTTACAGGGTTACAGATTTAAAATTTACATTTACAATTTTACCTTACAAATTAAAACAGTGGATTTAGACAAGACAAACAACTCCCTTGACTACAAAAGGACAGTAGGCTCCATAATGCATGTTTTTCTGCTATCTTTGATGAATGATACAAATATAATTTTACCATTAGTTCTTAATGAAATTGATACTGTTTGACTTTGTATTAGCCTACTACTAACTACACATTGAAGTATTTTTACTGTGTATTTTTTAGAAATACTCCCCTGCTGAGAACACAATCAAGCCACTTCTGCTAAGTTTGAAGAGGGAATTATTTTGTGTTACTCAGTACTAGTGAAACTACCCCCACAAATACTATGAAGTACTTAATGTGTAGTTTTCCAGTACTCCTCTGTCAATGTCCCCTCCTGAGAACAATAATGCATGTTTCTCTGCTATTTTGAATAAGCGTTAAAACACCTTTCTTCATGAGACTGATATTGTTGGACAGAGTACATTAAGAGGATGGTAGACATGATATCAGCAAGACTTCCAGTCAGTACTCCAGCAGCAGCATTTTTGCCTCTTTGAAAGTCTTTAGAGTCTGGCCTGGATAGCTGGCCACAAATATCTTTCAGCACACTGACACACTCTGTCACTCTTGTTGGCCTCTTATGAAGCTGCTATCTTTTAATATATGATTATGTCTCAGCTGCTAGTTCGTTCCTTGCCGATTCTTCAGCCTCATCAGCCTCATCCTTCCATCAGGCCCAGTCAACGCATCAGCCTCCAGCACACTTCCAGTGTCTGACTCCATATGATATTGTCCTGATGCTGTAAGGGCGATGCCCCATGATCACAAAATGACCCCTCTAGAGTGCCAATGACCTCATATTATGTATGTCATTAATGTTACATCACACATTATAACAATTTGATTTCCTTTTTCTCTTCTCTTAACTAAATAGTCCTGTCTTTAAGTATAATACAATGGAAAGTCCTTTTCCTGCACCATTTTAAGGCTTCAATACAGGCATTTTTTTTGTGTTTGGAGAAATTACAATCAATGGCCCAGAATTGTACTTTATAAACTCTGAATCTTGTGGTGCTTGAAAAAATACAGACTGGCTAAACCTGCTAGGTTATACTGTATATGCCTTTTTTGGAGCCCTTTTTTGCAATATTTATTTAAAAAAATGTTGTTTCTGTATTCTAGTGATTTAATTTTTTGTTTTGAGAAGTAGAAAATGAAAATCATCCCTTTTTTTTACGTTTAGTAAATCCCTTTTTGACCATGATAAAAAACGCCTTGTATTTCAATTTTGGTTTTTCAATTTGAAAACGAAAATTAAATATCCAGTCATTTTTTGGTTTTGAATATCCATTTGTGAAAAGAAAATCCAATGACCAAAACATACACTGACCGATATGTAGGTGGTCATATTTCCTAATAATAAACTGATAAAAACAGTCCAATAAAAATAAAATTCCAAGCATTTTGAGAGCCTGGGTGATACACTCCCAATGTTGGGAATGTAACACTGCTTTTACTTGATTTTACAAAATGTTCACAAGACTACATGAAACATATTAAAAATAATAAGAATATTTAGGTCTCCCTTGAAAAAGAGATCAATGATCTCAATGGGACCTACCTGGTTGAATACAGTTTTGACATGAAAAGAAAAATGCATTTTAAGAGCCTTGGTTGATTTTGATGATACTTGCTTGTACAGTATTACATTCTTCACAAGACTACATGAAACTTATTAAGAATAATACCAATATTTAGGGGTAGCCAGTCAGAAGTCTGTTTGGGCTCCTGATTATAACTAAAGGCAACTTATACCCTTAAAACTTTTTTTAGGCCCAAAATGGGGAAATTTGTAGAAGTACGAAAGATAAAAACTAAACATGTTGTCGTGACTATCTGTCAAAAAGGTTTTCTCATTCAAATAAACATACAGCTAGAGGCCACTGCTGCACCATGTCAGTTCAGGTTGTACACAGGCAGTTAAGAAGTCAAACATTCAGGCAAGATTACCATTTATTTTGATATTAATTCACAGAATTTTTGTTCATCATGGTGCCTCTCTCTTGCTCCGGTAAAATAAAAAACAAGGTCCCTTCAAGGTGCATCACTTGACATTGACAGACCCTCTACCTTTATCACCAAACCTGCCAGTCACCTAATAAACGCTTTCTATGGTGCGAATAGCGTCTACAGGAATAAATGAAAAATATCAATTGAATGACATCCCGCTCTAGATTATTAAACCATCTTGAGCCCACCCCCTCTGTCAACATTGGTCATTTGGTAGTTGAACCATTTTATAAATACCTGGATTGCTAAATATTTCTCCATTTGTTTCAGACCTCCCATCAGAATCAAACATATACAATAACGAGGAATTCCGGATTGTGTTGGTGGGGAAGACCGGAGCTGGGAAGAGCGCCACAGGAAACACCATTCTGGGAAAAGAGCACTTTATATCAAAGTGCTCTGCTAAATCTCTGACTGTAGACTGTGGTAATGCCTTTGGGGAAGTTGATGGACAAAGAGTTAAGGTTATTGACACTCCTGGTCTGTTTGACACCAAGATTGAAGAAGAGAAGACCAGAGAGGACGTTGTGCAGAGCATTTCTTATGCTGCTCCTGGACCCCATATCTTCCTGGTCGTCATCAGACTCGGCAGATTCACAAATGAAGAAAAGCAGACAGTGCAGACGATTCGGGAAATCTTTGGAGAGGAAGCGAACAGATACAGCATGGTTCTCTTTACCCATGGTGATCTGCTAGAAGACCAACCTATCGAAGAGTTCTTGAAGGATGATGAAGAGCTGCAGGAACTTGTGAACAGATGTAACGCCCAGTACCACGTCTTCAATAATAAGTTGGAGGATCGTTCTCAGGTCAGAGAGCTGCTCGACAAGATCAGAAACATAGCAGAGAAGAACGGAGGAAGCCATTACACCACTGAAATGTTCCAGAAGGCAGAGAGGGCCATAGAAGAGGAGAAACAGAGAATCCTTAAAGAGAGAGAAGAGGAAATACGCAAAAAGGAAGAGGAATTTCAAATGAGATTAGATCAAAAGTATGAGGAACAATTGAAGAAAATCAAAGAGGATGGTGAGAGGTCAGACAGGCAGATAGAAGCTCATGAAAGAGAAATGGAGGAGGAGAGGAGGAGAATGAGAGAAGAGGAGGACAGGTTGAGAGAAGCTCATGAAAGAGAAATGGAGGAGGAGAGGAGGAGAATGAGAGAAGAGGAGGACAGGCAGATAGAAGCTCATGAAAAAGAAATGGAGGAGACGAGGAGAATAAGAGAAGAGGAGGAAAGGCTGAGAGAAGCTAATGACATGGAAATGGAGGAGGAGAGGAGGAGAGAAGCTAGCAAAACTGAAATGGAGGAGGAGAGGAGAATGAAAGAAGAGGAGGAAAGGCTAAAAGCAGCTAATGAAAGAGAAATGGAGGAGGAGAGGAGGAGAGAAGCTAGCAAAAGAGAAATGGAGGAGGACAGGACGAGAATAAGAGAAGAGGAGGACAGGCTGAGAGAAGCTAGCAAAAGAGACATGGAGGAGGACAGGACGAGAATAAGAGAAGAGGAGGACAGGCTGAGAGAAGCTAGCAAAAGAGACATGGAGGAGGAGAGGACGAGAATAAGAGAAGAGGAGGAAAGTTTAAAAGCAGCTCGTGAAAGAGAAAGGGAGGAGGGGATGACGAGAATAAGAGAAGACGAGAAAAAGAGGGCCAGGAAGGATGCTGAGGACAGCTCTTCAATATTTGGCATAATTGCTTCCGCTGTGGGAAAAGGTGTGATCGCTGTGGGAAAAAGTTTGATCGCTGTGGGAAAAGGTTTGGGAGAAGGTGTGAGATCTTTGCTTCCTAGGAAGCCATGATACAATCTGACCCTCTGGAATACCTCCTTGTTAATCTTCACAGTCCCCTTTTTGATTTTGTTGTTTGATGTGATTTATAGTAATATCAGTTATTTCAGTGGTGAGTTACAATTACATACTAATAAGGTGACAGATTGTGAAGAACCAAGATGTTAACGTTCTAAACTATAGTAATGTACTGTACACTAATTTGTTCTTTGATTGCTTTTACAAGAAAAAAGAGCAATATATACATCATGAATTAATGCTTTTAAAATTGTATACGGATGCATTTTCTTTGGCTTTCCTGCAACTGAAGGCGTAATGTCAATGTTGGGTTTTGTAAAAACGAAAGGTTAAAATCTACATTTGTAATGAATTTTGTAATTCAATATGAAAAGGTTGGAACTCAAATGAATGTGAAAAGACAAATATCTATCTATCAATAATGTCTCATAATAAAATAATGTTGAGTTCACATTGAGTGTGTTATGTAATTTGTTGTTTAATAAACGTTTTAAAAGTGAGTTTTAAGGGTCTATATTATTAGAAATCACAGTATTATTCACAACTGGATCTAAATAAAAAGGTTAATGTCATTATAGAAAAGAAGAAATAAAGCCTGAACCCATTAAAAGCAAACTGGAAATGAATGTTTGCTAAATCTGAGCATTTCAAATCGTGGTAACTTGAAGGATTTTCCATTATTGACCTTTGTATTCAGAAAATACCTTAAACTCATTAATTATCTCAACAATAGCTGAACTTTTTAATTGGTTTGGACAACCAATCCCTACAGCTTTGGAGAGGAACTTTAAGGAACATCTGGTAAATACATTTGTTGTTAGCATGACAATTATTCTGAAAACACAGCCAAGCAGTTTGCATCAACACATCTATCTAAAGAGATAAGTTATCATGGAACTATTTATGTTTGTTTTAAGGCGAGACACGGCAGGCAAAAACATCGTTTTTCAAGTACTGGTCAATTTTGAGATTTTGTGCTATTTTGATTCCATAACATGTTTTCTTTCAGGCTTTTGGAAGGAAAACGTACAAAATACACATTTAAGTGTTTATTTTACTATAGTTTGTCTATTTGCGTCTGTAGATTTCTCCTAAATTCACCAAAAGTTAACATTCTAACGTAACATAAAGTACCGCGACCGCTGTGTGCACCATGTCAACAGAGGTATCGCTGGAAAGCTGTGTCTCTCCTGCACAATCTCATCGGATCCAAATATGGTCATTTCCTTTGTATCAGCAACCAATCGTGAAAGCACAAAGGGGTCTTAAACCAAGAAACAAAATCTCATTGGCTGGTGTCAATTTCTGACAACGTGATTCGTTCAGATGCGTCACGTGGTGTGCTAAAACACCACTGGTCAGCTTTCAGCTAGAAATTGAAATCTCAAAATGCCAAAAGAACGGCGAAAAAACGTTCACAGAGAAGACGCCAACAATTGTCACTTGCACGAAGTAAGGTTATACAAAAAAAAATGACTTGAGAAAAAATAAACAAATGTTGTAGAGCAAGATTATACATTGTAATATAAATGTGTGGGAAATGTGCGGCAAAAGGAAAATAAACAAAAAAATCTGTCTGCTCAAAATAGGTCAATGTTGTATTATTTGTGTCATTTATTCTTGAATCTATGTATTGTATGGTAATAATGAATTGAAAAAAACGTAATGTATTGAACACATTCCGAAACAAAGCAGATAAGACATAACTAGACTCAGACATTATGGTGATTGAAACCTTTTGCGCTGTTGCTGCAAAATGAAAACGTTGTTGATTGTCTGTTCCAACGAGTAGCATGAAGCTGCAGCGTTGGAGACGACACTTGTAGAACCACACACACAGGTCCCGCGTCACGAGCACACACACAGGTCCCGCGTCACGGCGGCACGTGACGGAGCACGTTCACATGAATGTGAACGTCAACGCAGAGAATGTGAGTAATGTGAAGTGCTTTTACAGTTTTATTTGTTTAACATTAATAACAATTCCGGTGTCTTGAAATGAAGTGTGATTAGCCAACATTAACTATGATAGTGTTAAGGCAATACAAACAAACATCTGTTTGCTTATGATAGCTTCTAACCGTATTAAAGTCTCTAAAAACAACTATTCATTAGCTATAGCTTTCGGCAAAAGCATTAGCAAAAGCATTAGCTTCGTTAGCATATTTGATCATTTGTTTAATTAAACTAGCGTGATTTTGTCAAGCCCAACTAGGTGTCATAGTTGATTAATTTAATCACTAATTACAGTAATAGTGTGAGTAATGTGAATCATGTTTTTTTTTTTAAAGTCAACAGCTATTCTGTTGTATTGAACAGCCATACAAGCAACAAGTGCTAAATGTCATCTGTTAGCCTATGATGACTCGCTGCAAAACCAACTGTTAACCATTTTGTTTATTTGTTTAATGAAACTGTATGTTATGGTTATGTTATTTGACAGAGGCTTTTATCCAAAGTGACTCACAAAAAACATAAAATAACCATAATTAACATTAGAATTTCAATACAAATAGTTACATAGTCAAGTTACATTACTTATTACATTTTTAACAGGGTAATTACTCATCTGTAACCTACTACATTTAAAAAAGTAAACTTCCCAACCCTAATGATTAATTATAGTCAGCTAATTAATTAAACTTCAACGGATGACAAAAGCATGTCAATATGTCCACTACATTAAATCAGCAGTAGCCTAAGTTCTGTCTTCAGTGTAAATGCTTCTTTAATAGTCATTGTATTACAATTTGAATTCATTGTAAATAATCTTCACTGTGCTGACTGCCTGTTTACCGTTTATCAGACAGTGTCATCATTTTGACATGTTTTGTAATATTGCATGAGGTGTTTTAGTCAGTTATGTCGGCCTAATATGTAGGTTAGAATCTGTCGTGTCAGAATCTAACAATTAAGCCTAATTTATGTCTGTCTGTGAAATTGTTTCAAAATGTTCAGTTTGACCAATTAGGCTCTCTCTTTTTCAAGATGCATATTACAATCCGAGAGGGGAGATCCTTGCCGGACCTTCAACGGTGCACGACGTGTTGCAATGACTTCCACTGCCTGTTCTGTGTCTCTCGTTTATTCTCTACAAAACACTGCAAGGTGAAAAGCCATCTCGAGAGCCACTTCCAGCGTGCAGTTCTCCATGAAGGTAAAGTTAGCTTACATTCTCTTGTGAAATGCAAATGGAGTTGCAATGTGTCTGCATTAAAAGCAGCCTAAATGTTATGATCAGTTCCATTTGAGCAATACATCAAAACAAGTCCTATGATTTGTTTGTGGTGACCAGTTACTTGATCCAGATGTTTGGTATTCATAATTTACACTTTTAAATAATATGATCACAAAATAATAATACTACAATTCTATGTTCTTATGTTTAAGGGTATACCATTCACAGATGTGGATTAAATTGCTGACCAGACTATCATTTTCACTGCTGCTACTGCCAATCCATGCATACTCGCAAATCTGGCTTTGTAAAGCACCTCGCTTTGTGCAAGGCAAAGCACTCTGCCATAACCCCCATCATCCCAGATCCAGCAATCCCCATCATCCCAGATCCATCAACGCCCGTCATCCCAGATCCAGCAATCCCCATCATCCCAGTGCGAAAGATGCAAAGGGTCCGTGTAGAGCAGGGGTGGCCAACCCGCGGCTCTCGAGCCGCATGCGGCTCTTTGCCTAGTTTCATGCGGCTCTTCAGTTCATATCGAATTGTATAGCCTATGTGTGAGTTTGGGGGAGAGACACTGACTCCTGACTAGTGTTGCACGGTGTACCGATACTTGAAAGGTACCGCGATACCCTGCCGTTAAAAACGTTACGATTCCTCCGTTTCATTAATATCGGTACTTTAAGAATGACGGGGAAAAGTACTCCGGTGAGAAAGCGCTGTTTTAATAAGAGCCGTGTGTGTTCAGCGCTCTGCTTTCACTCCCTGCACTGCAGCCGTGCCTGCAGTCCCGCCCCTCTCAAGCACGCTCTAAGTCCCTCCCCTCTCAAGCACGCTCTAAGTCCCTCCCCTCTCAAGCACACTCAAGTGCCTCCCCTCTCTCGTGCACGCGCTAGCTGCCAGAGCATGTGAGAAAACGAGAAGCAAGTGGGAGTGCAACTGCCGCTGCGCCTCGGCTTGTTGACAACAAAGACGCCAGAAGCGAAATTTGGAAGTATTTGAGCGATATCTCTGACAGTGAGGGCAAGCCTACGGACACCACGAGGCCACCACAGCGTGTCTAATTTTGATGTGGCCCAAGAGCCAATCACAATAATACCTGCGATGCAGTGAACCAATTTGAGGGGGGGGAAACCTATCGTTGATTAAACACTATCCAGTGTTTCCCGCCAACGGAGCCCCGCGCCCCCCCCCTGAAATTCAAGGTGTTTAAAAAATATATATAATTTTTTTTTTTAAATATATATATAGCACCAAATTCCAAATAATCTATAACTACTGTCACTTTTCATATTGAACATGTGCTCTTTAATTAAATAAACTAAACGCTTTCATTTTAAGTTGTGAGTTTAGTGTTTTTGACCCTAAGAAACACTGATGCATTTATCAATAACAATAATCCACAGCTCCTCTCTCTGCTCCAGAGGATTTCAAAAATATATATCCCAATGCCACAAAGATGCATCAGTGACGTGGTTGAAATCTTGTCTCCAGAAAACAAAAAACTGAAACAAGCGGTATCAGTGACTGTGTGTTTGATGTGGCTCTTTGCAGAAACATAGAAAAAATGTGGCTCTTAACCTCTGACTGGTTGGCCAGCCCTGCACTAGAGCTACAAAGAAAACCAATATTGAGCACACTTCAAATGAACAAAATGCCCCAAAACAGAAGGACAATATACTCCAATATGTTTGAGTACATCTGAAGTCATTTATAAACTTATTACCATTATGGTGGATTGACTTTAGCTTTCGAATAGATTAATGGTACATTAAGTAAGTACTATTTTACTTTTAGAATAAAATGCTTCTTCTCGTGAGCGTTCAGACCAAGAAAACACTCTGCAGATGAAGAACTATACAAACCTCATCTTCACTTTGCTTTGCTGTCAACATGGTGATATGGGTGTGGTTTGCTGGAGGAAGCTTTCATGGAGAGGTGTGGTTGCATGAAACCATTCAGTGCTCCACATGTGCTCTGTCCTCCACAACTTAAACATGGCCTGCGATGCAAAGGAAGCCAAACATGGTGAGTACATGAACACTATGGGATTAGTTTTGTGTCATAAACATAAAGGAACACTTTCTCAGAATCAAGCAAAACTAAGAGTTTACGAGAAGAAGAAAAAGGTGGGCGGGACTTTCAGCGGTGCGTCCCCATTGGCTACTCAGTTTTTGAGTGACAGCTCACTACACCACAGATCATACAGTGCAACTCATGCAGCAAACTCCGGAGTTCACTCAGCCATGTTTGTGTCGGTGTCTCCTGGGGAGTTTCCCTGATAATATCAGACTTATCTTATCGATTGCTGTGCATTAG